GGAGAGAGAGAGAGAGAGAGAGAGAAATATTGACATGAGAGAGACTCATCGACTGGTCAGCTCACGCCCAGACCAGGGCCAGGGATAGAACCTGCAACCAAGGTATGTGCCCTTAACTGAGAATCAAACCTGCAACCCTTTGGTCTGTGGGCTGACGCTCTAACCACTTAGCTAAACCAGCAAGGGCATGTAGATGTTCTTTATAAAGCTGAGTCAGTCTGATCTAGTTCTAGTTTGCTGAGAGTTTTTTTTTTTTTTTTAAACATGAATAGGTATTGGATTTGGTCAAATTATTTTCTTGCATCTACCGATATAAATTATATGCTTATTCCTCTTTAGCCTGTGGATGTGATGGACTACATTTATTTTCAAGTGCCTGAACCAGCATTCCATACCTGAAATAAATCCCACTTGGTCATGGTGTATAATTATTTTTATATTTTGTTGGATCCAATTAGCTAATAAATATTTTTAAATTAAAAATGTTTTTATTGATTTTTAAAGAGAGAGGAAAGGAGGAGAGAGAAACATAGATGTGAAAGTGGAACACCAATTCGCTGCCTCCTGCACGCCTCCTACTGGGGATCGAGTCCGCAACCTGGGCATGTGCCCTGACCAGGAATTGAACCAGCAACTTTTTGGTGCACTGGACGACACCCAACAGAGTTACACCGGCCTGGGCCAATTATCTAATATTTTGTTGAAGATTTTTGCATTTATCTTCATGAGTGATATTGGTCTGTAGTTTTCCTTTCTTGTATTATGTTTACCTGATTTTGGTATTACAGTAATGCTGACCTCACTGGATGACTTGAGGTGTTCTCTCTGCTTCTATTTTCTGGAAGGGATTGTAGAGAATTGGTATCATTTTTTTACCTTAAATATTTGATTAGTCACTAGTGAACTCATCTGGGCCAAGTGCTTTCTGTTTGAAAGATAATTGAATCTATTGCTTTAACATAGATAGGCCGAATCAGATTATTTATTTCTACGTGTGTTTTAGTAGGTTGAGTTTTTCAAGGAATTTGTCCATTTTACTATCTAAGATATCAAATCTATGAGCACACAGTTGTTCATAATTTTCCTTTATTATCCTTTCAATGACCATGGGCTCAGTAATGATGGCCCCTCTTTCATTTACGGTACTAGTC